CTCCAAGTAATGAAATTTTAGTTACAATAGAAAAATTTGATACCAAAAAATTGGATTCTTATAATATATTTCGATACAGTGCAATGAGTCGCAACAGAGCCGTTCGGTTATAACCAATTAATTGCCGGCAGGTGGTGGGCCAATGTTGTAAACAAGACAACCTACCCAACGGACTAAAGTGCGAGTAAACTTTGCATCACAGATATTAAACTTGAGTTCTCACGGGTTAACGTAAAAATGTTTCCAATATAAGTTCTCCATCGTTATCTCCAAAAAGGCATTTGAAAAAGCAAGACATTCACGCATTATTACACCGAAGGAATTCTTTTATTATCGGAATATTAAAAACAAAGCACGAACAGACACGAACTGGGGTCTTAATTCATCCACCAGGTTGTCCTCGCTCGGGGCTTCGATAGCCTAATTTTTATTCAAACTGTTTTATTTCCCCAAAGTGTAAACGTATATTCGAGTTCAAAACTACCTCTGAAGCCGAGACGTGACAGAAAGCAAGGCCTGTAATAAAGCAAATGGGTTTTGACTGACAGCTATAAAAACCTACTCANAACCAATTAATTGCCGGCAGGTGGTGGGCCAATGTTGTAAACAAGACAACCTACCCAACGGACTAAAGTGCGAGTAAACTTTGCATCACAGATATTAAACTTGAGTTCTCACGGGTTAACGTAAAAATGTTTCCAATATAAGTTCTCCATCGTTATCTCCAAAAAGGCATTTGAAAAAGCAAGACATTCACGCATTATTACACCGAAGGAATTCTTTTATTATCGGAATATTAAAAACAAAGCACGAACAGACACGAACTGGGGTCTTAATTCATCCACCAGGTTGTCCTCGCTCGGGGCTTCGATAGCCTAATTTTTATTCAAACTGTTTTATTTCCCCAAAGTGTAAACGTATATTCGAGTTCAAAACTACCTCTGAAGCCGAGACGTGACAGAAAGCAAGGCCTGTAATAAAGCAAATGGGTTTTGACTGACAGCTATAAAAACCTACTCAATAGTCCATTAGTATATGCAGCATAAACGACTCCATAATGTTTACTATTAAGGACGTTCATAATTCAGCTGATTGTAGTTCCTTACGCCTGATCCACCAAAAGTTAAAACTAAATCGTGTTTTCAGACTCTAATCATATTTCTCGCAGTTTACTGATCTACCATTTAGAATCACGTATGTACTGTTACAAGAAAGACCGACGAAGTTTGAACTGACTAGGCCTGCTAATCAAAATATGCAATCCAGCTCATTAAGCCATCATGATATCGTTAGAACCCGCGCTTTCTTTTTAGTCAAAGCTGAGCTTTCGTAATCAAACTCATTCCCGAAATTTTGTTTTATGGCTGGGCTCGTGATTTTCGTCGGTTGAAACGCCGATAAAGTTCGGTGGATTTACTCGACGTCCTAGGAACAGAATGTTGCTTGTTGATCAGCAAATTGATCGCGCTCTTTCGGTGTTGTTGTGCCCACAATAAAACAGCTACTTACATGCGTTCTCATTCTTGTTTTGGAGCTTTCTTCTCGACTCAGGCGACGTAAGCGTAAAGAGTCTGTCTTTTGCGGAAAAGTTTCAGAAGGTTGGATTGAAACCACAATTAACCAAGCTAAGAGTACGATCAAAACGATCTTGCGTTTGCCAAACGTAGATCGCTCTCGTGTTGTAATAGTGCTGGTTTCAATCATTGCTACCAAACGAAGCATTTTGTAGCGTGTGTTTCTCTGAGGCGAATGACTCCTCTAATAACGAGCATGATAAATTCAGTTGCCCACTTTGCATTTAAAATTAACGAATGTGTCTGTGTTTAATTTTCCGCTCAATGGTGCGAGTCATCTCTGAGTAATTATTTATTTTGTATAACACGACAACCCACTGAGAGGCTTTCAACAGAAGGCCTTTTTTAGGTTCTCGGATCATTTTACCATGTCGTATCCATTTCGTCAATTTAGTGTTTTCAGTGCATACAAGCCCTTTTGTCGTCCAGACGTAACTAAGTGCACATTAAAAAGTAAGCAAGCCATATATTAATTAAGTACGTCAGTCTGTCAGGAAGTACGTAAGTATACCAGGTAAGTAGGCAGGTAGGTAGGTAAGAAGGCTGATTGGTAGGTAGGAAGGTAGGTAGACAAGTAGGTAGGTAACTTACAGTAGGCAGATGGGTGATAGGTAAGTAGGCAGGTACGTAGGTGGGTAGGTAAGTAAGTAGGTAGGTGGTAGGAAGGTACTAGGTAGGTAGGTGGGAAGTTAGGTGGGTAGGTAAGTAGGCTTGTAGGTAGGTGGGTAGGTTAGTAAGTAGGCAGGTGGTAGGAAGGTAGGTAGCTATAGGTAGGTAGGATGTTAGGTAGGTAGGTAACGTATTGTAGGTAGGGAGGTAGGTAGATAAGTAGGTAGGCAACTTATAGTAGGCAGTTAGGTAGGTAGGTAAGTAGGCAGGTAGGTAGGTGGGTAGGTTAGTAAGTAAGTAGGTGGTAGGAAGGTAGGTAGCTATAGGTAGGTAGGAAGTTAGGTAGGTAGGTAACGTATTGTAGGTAGGGAGGTAGGTAGGTAAGTAGGAAGGTAACTTACTGTAAGTAGGTAGNAGGCGAATGACTCCTCTAATAACGAGCATGATAAATTCAGTTGCCCACTTTGCATTTAAAATTAACGAATGTGTCTGTGTTTAATTTTCCGCTCAATGGTGCGAGTCATCTCTGAGTAATTATTTATTTTGTATAACACGACAACCCACTGAGAGGCTTTCAACAGAAGGCCTTTTTTAGGTTCTCGGATCATTTTACCATGTCGTATCCATTTCGTCAATTTAGTGTTTTCAGTGCATACAAGCCCTTTTGTCGTCCAGACGTAACTAAGTGCACATTAAAAAGTAAGCAAGCCATATATTAATTAAGTACGTCAGTCTGTCAGGAAGTACGTAAGTATACCAGGTAAGTAGGCAGGTAGGTAGGTAAGAAGGCTGATTGGTAGGTAGGAAGGTAGGTAGACAAGTAGGTAGGTAACTTACAGTAGGCAGATGGGTGATAGGTAAGTAGGCAGGTACGTAGGTGGGTAGGTAAGTAAGTAGGTAGGTGGTAGGAAGGTACTAGGTAGGTAGGTGGGAAGTTAGGTGGGTAGGTAAGTAGGCTTGTAGGTAGGTGGGTAGGTTAGTAAGTAGGCAGGTGGTAGGAAGGTAGGTAGCTATAGGTAGGTAGGATGTTAGGTAGGTAGGTAACGTATTGTAGGTAGGGAGGTAGGTAGATAAGTAGGTAGGCAACTTATAGTAGGCAGTTAGGTAGGTAGGTAAGTAGGCAGGTAGGTAGGTGGGTAGGTTAGTAAGTAAGTAGGTGGTAGGAAGGTAGGTAGCTATAGGTAGGTAGGAAGTTAGGTAGGTAGGTAACGTATTGTAGGTAGGGAGGTAGGTAGGTAAGTAGGAAGGTAACTTACTGTAAGTAGGTAGCTAGCTAGGTAGGTATAAGATAGTTAGGTAGCTAATTAGGTGGGAAGGTCAATTGGAGTAGTGCAAAATCCAGATAGAACACATCCTCAGATTACACGTACAGATTTTTGGAGCAGACGGAACTAGAACGTGAAATTACCGACATTATATTGCTGTATGACGAAGGGTAACATTGCTAGAACGAGGACTTTGTTTAGCACACAAAATTTTGTTATATACTTTATTTCGACCAAATCCCCTCTGAACGCGTAAAGTTACTGTTTTCTTAAGTCTCATTGAATAGTTCTCTATTGGAGAAGATAACTCATGCAATTTCAGTGTGATCAGTTATCTCTTGCGGAATTATCCTTTGGGAGCTGTGTCACGATTTCATTAAAATATCCTTTTCATATCAATACCTTTGCGCTTAGCATCACTTTGAAACAGATGTTTGGGGCAACTCGTAAATGGCTGATTACACGTCCCTATTCGCAATAGAATTAACTTAAAGTTAGCGAAAAACTACTGGAAAATGACAAAATTACAGCTTCTTGTCCAAAAATGTCTCCCAACCATTTTTAATTGTCAAACGTTACAAACGACAAAAATGGAGGAGTAGAAACCTTTTTAATCTTGTTTATCTTTGTCCATCTGTGTTAGGTATGGCCTAGTCCCTGTACGGTGTTTCCCCAGGCCTTTGAGGTCAATTCACTTCGGTGACGTATCCGAGGCGAACGGGCGGGAAACGCCCTCGCTTCTTCGCTCGCGCCACGTGACCCGAAGCGCATTGGCCGTTCGGAATAATGAGGCCTGGGGACTAGGCAATGTTTTTTATACCTCCTTTTAGTGATTGAGCACACATTATTTTTCATGTTACACTCTCAATTTGGTGGCAGTTCCTGCTGTTTAAATTTCGATAAATTTTGTGACTGAGCTCCTTTTAAGTTCCCGCTCATATGTCATATGATCCCTACCGGGTATACCTCAGTCTGCATTCATCTCTGAACTGTTTTCACTTGACTCTTTTCATCAAACGCTACAAACATCAAAAGTGGAGCAAGTGCAATCCGTTTTAATCTTCTTTATTTCTGTCCATCTGTGTTACGTATTGCCTAGTCCCTGTACGGCGTTTTTTCCAGGCCTTCTCGGTCAATTCACTTTGATGACGTATCCGAGGCGAGGTAATGTTACTTATACCTCTTTTTAATGATTGAACACAGGTTATTTTTCATGTTATACTCTCAATTTGGTGCCAGTTCCTGCTGGTTACATTTCGTTAAATTTTGTGACTGAGCTCCTTTAAAGATACCGCCTATATGTCATATAATCCCTACAGGCTGTACCGCAGTCTACATTCATCTCTGAACTATGGGCACTTGGCTCTGTTAAATTAATTTGTGTCCGTATTGAGTCTGAGCTGTTTTGACATTGACATCGAGTGCAAATATTCGAAAGCTTAAGGAAACATTTTGCTGGTGAATGATCAGCTAAAAATGCGTGGCCGATGCAAAATCTCAAGGTAAAGGATCAGAACTACACACTGGCCTAATTTCACACCACTTTTATTTTCCTCCTTTATCATATATGTTTTAAATTTACAACCTTGTTTAAGAAAATATGCGATAACCCGGTAAGTAAAGACTACGCCAGCCGGGTGAGCCTGCGCTTTGCTTTAAGTATTCGCCAATTTTCAATAGACGCCAAAAGTGAACTGACAGCATTTTGGTTTTGGTTTCATTTATGTGATCGGTTGGTTTCCCGCATCATTTTGGTTTTGGTTTTGGTTTTGGTTAGGGAAAGCTGTCAGTTCACTTTTGGCGTCTAACACACTAATGTATAGGCTTGGTATCAGTCACCATCTGGTAGCTGAGGGAGGGACTCAGTAGTGATACTTACTCTGTCGTCATTTGACGAGTAAGTGCTATCACTCAAGAATGCAATTGAAAAGGGTCTTTAAACTGTTTTCTTTTAAGCTGGTCCACAGTTTCAATTTCAACCATCACACAGAACTTCCAAGTTTGAATAATGGCAGAAGGTTGCGCGTGAATGATGATCTGCCAGTTTAAGCATGAATATGAAATGTTAATTATTATTTCAAGCGTTTTGCAATTTGATAGGTCTTGTTTCAAGGAAAACGACAGCGTCCTGTGACCAGTCCTGTACGAATGTTTTGTGGTTAAGCCAGTTTAGCAGGTGTCGGTCTTTCCAAAGACGTTTTCATGTTATTGTTATTGCATGTAAATGCGAATAAGAATCTTAGAAGTGTGGTTTTATAAAGTAAACGAAAATACTGTGAACTAGATCTCGCTTGAAAATAGATTAGACTTCCAGGTTCAGTTCTTCATTTGGCAGACTAACAAGGGAGACTTCTGTGTTATTACTAGTCGTGCTGTTGAGCCTGTTGAAATTCTTTCTCAGTTCAATCGAGTTGAAAGACGGAAAGGCAGAACCTTGAGCTTCATTGTTGTCTACATCTTGGTTCTGTACTGCAATCGCGGATCGATTATCGCGATCCTCATTTTGAACATCGAGAAACCTTAGCAGTTTTTCTTCCCAAAACGGTCTTTCTAGGACATTACAGTAGTCGATAAAATTTCGCTTGCGAAGTGTCCTGGGAAGTTTTTTGCTATCTGCGTCATCAATTCTTATCATAATCAAACTGTTATCCGCTCTGTGCACAAGGCGATACTTAGCGAGGTTTAATTCGTAGTTGCAATAGTTGCTCTTCAAGAAATTGCTTGACAACACTGCTATGATTTTGTAACTCTTGTAAACAGTTTCTGCCATTATATCATGGAAAGGCTTTCCAGGTTCAAAGTCTCTGTAATGTACGCAGCACTTCAAATGATGCTTGTCTTCCAGGAGGGGAAGAAGCTTCCGCACCACCCACGATGAATCTTCTTTGTTGTAAATTATAAAAGCGTGGTACTCAAATTCTAAAGTGATAAACAGAAAAATAAATAATTCAATAGATCTGGATAGATTTACTGTGTTACAACCACACCTCAATGCTAATCGTTTCCAAAGGAGAACTGCCAACTGTTTGTAGGGGTTTTCCTTATGACAACAACCTTGTCATTGACGTTTGCAGACATCTGGCTGTTTTATGGAATTATTACACAACGTTCTTAATGTTAGCGTTTCAGAACCATCGCGACCTTCCAACTCTCGTGGTTTGACCGTAAGACTCATGGTTTGGGCTTTCAACTCACGGTCTCACGATTTGGCCTACAAATCTCACGGTGAATTAGAAAATCTTGAAATTGACGAACGTTTCCGGTAGGAATCGCGTATTTTTTAAAAAATCTCTCCTCATTATGTATATCAATCTAATTGTTGGGGGAAACCTGATTCCCGGGTCGATTCCCGTAAAACTTAGATTCCCTAAGGTCTGTTGGAAAGCCTTACTGCAATCTCAAAATGGCTACTCCCCGTCCTATCGACGTGGATAGTGAAACAGAATCTTCTCATCAGTAGTATGGTAGGGATGTTTTGGTCCTCTTTCTTGCGAATGAATCTTATTATCGTGCGGTGGAATGTATTAACGCCGATGGCGTCATGGCCTTTTGGCCTTATCTCGGTAATAAAATGCGGAGGAATCTCATAAGATAAGGTCATGTGCTAAAAAAGTGCGGAGGAATCTCGTTCTCATATTCTTTGTATTCTTAACACAATGGAAACAAAGGACTTGCCTAGGCTTGCTGGAACCGGAAGTAAAAGTATGATTGTCGTTTATGGAGGAAATGAGCGCTAGCTCGCCTGTGACTTCAAATCACTGAGCCGTAACGTAATTTTCTGCCGCTGACACTGTCCTCTTTCCGGGCTCCAAGATTCTTGGGGCGCAAATTGTGCATATTAATGAGGGCGAAGGCAAACCACTTCTTTTTAGAGCGATTTTTTAATTTTTTATTTACCCTCCACCACATCGACCCCACGTCGACCCCACATCCACCCTGCATCGACCTTACATCGACCCTATATCGACCCCACATCGACTCTACATCGACCTCACATCGACCTCACATCGACCCCACATCAAACCCCATATCGACACCACATCGACCCTACATCGACCTTATATCGACTTTACACTGACTCCACATCGACCTCACATCGACTCTATATCGGCCTTACATGGACCCAACAGTGACCCCACATCGGCCGGCCCCACATCGACCCCACATTGACCCCATATCATCGACGTTTATTCCTTGCTCACCATGAATTAACCAATGAGAACGTTTCGTGCTTTCTGATTAACCAATCGAAAACCAAAACATTCATCGTTCTTGAAATAACTAGAAAACCTGTCAGACCGGTTAAATCACTAAAAGAGTAACACATGACCACATCTTAATGAGATTCCTCCGCATTTTATTCATGACATTAAGACAAAAGGCTATGACGTCATCGTTGTTAATGGGTTCTCCCCCAAAAAGGGATAATTCGGTCCCTATTATACTACTCTCATCGCTACCAAAAGAGCAACAAGAGAGTACAACAAAGGCCACTAATTCGGTCGGAATACCATAACAACAATCGGAAAAGTCGGAATACCATGACAAAAACTATTATCTGCCCTCTTGCTTTTATGTGACACGTATTTTGGAAATCTCCATGTTTTGGGGGACTTTTTTTTTTCAATCACTCCAGATTTGCATACTTTAGGGTTTGTAAGGTCTGGAACCTATATACCATGACCCTCTGTTAAGCTTAGCTCATTTTTCTAAACATTCCCGGCGATACGAGTTAACCATCACCTTAACAGCAACCACACCTTTATAAGACACTTAAAGCATCTGATTTAATATGTTTTCATCTGCTACGCTCCCTTAATTGGCTATAAACAGGCACACTGAAATACGTGATGTATCATTGGGTAAAAAGAAAAAAAAACCCATTTTACTTAAACCCTTTCTCTCCCCAAGCATAACGTTAATTTACTGGATACATGTAATGGACAAAATCCTCCTCATTTGCCATCCAAAAGGGTAATAGTATTAAAATTGAAACACTTGCAATTTTTCGGGATTCTACAAAGGAAAAAATTGGCAAGCTGGGCGTTGAAAGCATGATTAAGAATCAATAAAATAAATAAATGAAATATTTATAGCACTAATGAGCAGATGTCTGAAACAAATAATCTAAATCCAACTTAACAGGGTTAAGAATACCAACTGGCCGGAGGCAAACCAGCTGGCTATTTACAAGCGTGGCCGAGGATTTGAACTCGAGACCCAACTAACGGGCAGAGCGGGACTTGAGCTTGAGGCCTCCGAATTGCAAGTCCAGGGCTATAACCACTCGGCTACGCTACCTCCTCCGTTCTTCGCTCTCTTGAAATCTTGTACAAACCTTCGGGCAACACAATGTTCTTCCTTTGGCGCAGACAAGAATACTTGAGTGAAGTGACAAGACATACAAGGACCATTCCGACCACGATACCTAACGAAATCGATACGGCATAGACGACTGTGGTGTGATTTGGATCTGCGTATCGAAAATGTTAAGATATCAGCTAAACCAGATTAAGACAATATGCTCCACCGATCAATTTGTGAACAGTTTGGCAAACACGTGTTGCTTGCACAAACAGTGGATGAATCTTCATACACAATTAAAGCAATGCCGTTGTAGAGATTACAGTAGGGAGTTTTAGCATCGACGACGGCTACGACAGCGAAATCGTCACTTTTAAAATGACTTAGCGTTTTTCAAACTTTATCGCGTTTATTCCAATTCACTTAAAATGTCTAATGTAGGTAAATTTCACTGGAGTTGATTTCTTGGGGACCCACTCAAGTTTAGAGAGAGAAAGAAAATTTCCCTGTCGCTTGTTTACGTCCTCCATAAAACGTGAAATTAGGCATTTTCACGTCGTGGTCGTGGAGCAACAGCAAAGAAATGTACAAAAAAGCGTGATGCACGTGCAAACTTGATGTTTCGTTTAATAAACCCATTGCTGTTTTGACGTTCTCGTAGCCGTCGCCGTCGTCGTTGCTAAAACTCCCTAGTTTTGTTTCCCAGGCAGGGCGCCCTTCTTTTTCAATCTGTTTCCTTTCCTTTCTGTTCTTTTCTTTCCCACAACTTATTTACCTTTAGTTCCTTAATTGAAAACCGTTTTCTACTCTTTTTCGATCAAAATTTCTACTCTTTAATAATAGCTAATGACATTCATTGATTGGCTATCAGCTAACAGGACTACCATATAGCCTACTCCTTAAGCTAACCTTTCTCCTTAGTTGTGGGACCTTGTGGACGCTTGGTGGAAAAACTTGGAGGGGTAGTAAATACTAAACATAAACGGAATATCATATGTTAGTATTGTACATTGATCTCTTGTAGTGGTATGATGAAATTAGAATTAACAAGACATACCAGCTTCAGAGTAAACTGCCCCAAAAGGCTGTTTATAAGTCGAAATCATTTCCGTATTCTTCATAGCTGGATGTACTGATTTTAGCTGGTTGAGTATTTTACGTTTAACGTCAGTCGTAAAACAACAGAAAGAAAAATTATTGTACGATTGACGCCACCTAACGATAGCGGAGCGCGGAGCGGTGCCTGCTCAGTTTTTTTGCAATATGTAGCTTTTTAAAATACTGAGCTGCAGATTTAAAAGGAGAGTACTCACTGAATTAATGATTCTAAACGCTCGCAAGAATGCCTTAAGCACTAACAGCTTTTTGACGAATATCTGGAAGGATATCGGTTCATATCATCTCATAAAACTGCCAAAGAACGGGCAAATGTATTAAGGGAATGAATGTTTAAAAAATATATGTAACCTTTATTTGAATCTGGCTTGCGTATGCATGATATAAACAAGTATGTAGAATCCACAGGCCGACTCTCTACTCGAACTGCTACACATATTAAGTCGTCACATCCCAATCAGCCTCATCAAATAACTGTCAGTACTCGAATTAAACTGCGGCCTTTTCGAAGATCGCAAGTAAGTAATAATAAGTCCCTTTTTGTTTTTACTTGTTAGAGTGTGATGTAATAAGTTACTGAAATGAAAAAGACCCTTTAAAATTTTGTAAGCTTACCATATTTCGAAAAGGATGTAGATCTTGAAGGGTACGTTGCTGCCAAACAAACGAGTTAATATAATGATAAGAGGTTGAAAAAATATAGTGACATTACGGAACTTGTCATTAAAAACTGATCATGACTTGAATGAAGGGTAAGATGCTGAGAGGTGATGGGGGTAGAGAAAAAAAGATCAAGATATTACCTAGGCAATAACCAGGAAATATTCCATAGTGAGGTAGAACTCAACAATATTGTTGTGAAGTATTTTGAAAGTTAAAGTTAAGACGGATCTATCTTCTATTTTAAGTTTAGTTTTTGTTTCATTAAGTCTTGTTTTTGTCTACGTACTGTTTTCCTGTTATGATCTTTTATTTTAACTTGTACTTGGATTTATGCTTAGCTCACGAATTTACTTATTGCCATATTAGGAATGTTATTCGCTTGGCATTGTCAGATGTTAGTTTTTTACAGGTGGTCGTGTTCGCAGTGTTAGAGCTGACCTTGGTTCTTTGGTACTTGTCATGCAGTTGCGGCTGTGCGTAGGCTAATCTATTCTCTAACAATGGCAAACCTGTTGCAATGTTAGCGATAAGATATTCAATACTGAAGGTCTTCCCGGTCAGTTAACCCAAACATGTCCAGCTTTGGCTATAAAACCGATACTATACTTGAACTAGTAAGTAGAAGTTAGTAGAGAAGGGTAGAAAAGTAGAAAAGAGTTAGAAGAGTAGGACGATTAAGACTGTTAGCAGAAGTCAAAGAAGAATAAAGGCCAAGATGTAAATCAGATTCCTGGTAGCTCATCGTGTAGAGTGCGAGTTGCTCGAACACACCCCCACAATTTGCATATCTCCCCTGCAATATGTATATACGCAATAACCCAAATGAGGAGGACGTTACGGTTCGTGCCCTGATGATGATGATGATGATGATGATGATGACGATAGAGATAGAAACGAAGACGATGATCGTCAATATTTGAGTCGTAATGATTCGAATGTTCTTTCGACTCTTGTGACACCTGTTTAACGTTTGTGCATGGGAGTTGAGCGTTGGCATGAAGACACAAACAACAAAAGCGTAGCGGATTGATCAAGTTACTAAGCAACATATTCTTGGAGTGATAACATCTTTAAAGTTACTCTTATCAAACGTACTTTAAACTTACCAGTTTTTTCTTTGGTAGATGAACCTGGAGGATGTGTCGCTACAAATAAAATAAAGATAAAGTAATAAAAATGAAAACACAGTTATAGTAAAAACCTTGATATTTATCAAAATACATTTGACAAGAACATCATAAAATTCTCAAAACTACTGATTGAATTCATTTGTTACTCAATATTTAACCATTAATCGAAAGGCTTGGATAATCCATGAAATTAGAGTTTACGTTACGTACTAGGATTTTTTGTATATTTGTAACTTAGTAAAAAAAATTGGTGTTTAACCGAACACCGACTTGTTTCCTTCTCCACTTTTAAGTGAAACGAGTGCACTTTTCTCCCATTTTCACACCAAGAGTTACCTACATTTTGGATCGCAAACAGTTATGAGAGACCAGTGAAAACTGCCAGGAATATCTTAATATCAGTCGACATTTTATATTTATTTTCCTCTTGCGTAAAGTGGTGCCACTACTGGATTAGTTTATTTAGTAGGAGGCCAGTGTGCTGAGTAGATAATTCGGTTTGAAAGACAGTGCTCAGTCAGGACAGTAGATATTTGATATCAGTGGTCGTACGGTTATTTGTTCATTAGAAAAATACTGCTATAGACCCACAGTTCCCGAAATTAAGGATGTCATATTTTGTAACTATGGAAATCGACTGTCAATAAAGTTTGCCAAAATGTCTCTGAGGAAAAACTGAACATCTGACTGAAAAGACTTGGTACGTGCGTCAGAGGGTTAACGTTCCTGAAAAAGCCGCATAGCTTTCTCCTTACAGTGATGCTTGATTTTTTTCGAGGATGACGCATTTATGAGTGTTGAGTGAATTGTGATATTTGAAGTGAAATCCCAAGGTCCGAGGACTTTTTTTATCGCAAGCATGTGAGAAAAACAAATTCATAAACAATAATAATTACGAATTCGAAATAGTACGATCGTTTGCTTCCTTACATAGAGCAAGTGTAGTTGCAGTATTGCTAATAACTATAAACCCCTTTCCGCTTTAATACAAGATACACTTACTTGTGGTCGACAAGTTTGGTTCGTATGTCTCCATATCTGACAGTGCATCCTGAGTAAAAGGGAAACCTGAAATCTGAAAAGAGATCCAGGTCTTGAACTTTCGGTGGTAACAACCGGAGAGGAAATGCTAACTTAAATTGATGAAAGTCCCATAAAGTATAATGTACTTTTTCTATTTGCAGGGATTTCGTAAAACTAATTACACACACATTGACCTTTATGATAACGATGACGTTCTTTTTGAAAATACCGAGCACACTACAGCCACACTTTCTACACTGCCGAAGAAACTCTTTTTAGCCTTTTTAGGATTCTTTATTTATATAAGTTACAGAAAGTGGCAAAAAGTAACGGTGCTCTATTACATTTTTTATTTAGCAGTACAAGTGTGACGAAAGAAACATATTAAACAAAAGAATTGAAAACTAATGCACATGTAGGTATACAGAACAAAGGCACAAACACTTAAAAAATAAGTGAACGTAAAAAGGAAAAGAAAATTATTTAGAGAAAAAACCGTTCAGTTCGATTTGCTTCGACTTAAGCCTCTTAGAACTCCCTCACATGCCCTAAAGTGTGGATGGTCGCGAGTAAGCTATACCACTTCTTTCACGGCTCAAAAGTTTGAAATTAATTAATATATTCTGGTTGCCATTATCATATGATAAATGTTTCTTCAGAAAAGGAAAATGACTTAGCCGTCACTTTCGAGCTCATATTCAAGATTTGGTTACGATAGTTGCTGAGCAAACTTTACCAATTTACCAATCAGTTACTCAGGTCAAAGCAGCTGATTAATGTGTTAGTTTCGATGCTCACTAGACTTTCAAAAAAGTCCTTGGTCCCATTTAATATGGCAACGGACCTCTTGCGACTTCGTCGCTCGCTTCGATGCCTACGGAAAGCTCGCTTCGCTTGCTTAGAAAGTCCTGAGGTCGACCGGCTTGTGGCAACTCTGGATGCTTACCTGTAATAGGAATAAATAGTCCGGATATCTGAAGCCATACGAAGAAATATTCACTGTGAGGTCGCTCTTGTTCTAAAATGAATTAGGTCAAACAAAAAAGAAATAAATACTTTATTCACTTATCTTAATTTCCCTGTTAAATTATCTTGTGACGTTTTAAGAAACTTCGATCTGTCGGAAATTTTGGTCTTTTGGAGCGTTTTATTGACTCCTGATGTAATACGTAGAAGTCTTCTTTAATGCCGGCTTTCAGATCTAAAAAGTCTAATATAAGGCTAGAGCTGTAACTTAATATATTATGTTTTTTAAAAAAGCTTGGGGCGTGTGAATGGGACAAACAGGACATTGCGGGTTCTGACCTCGGTCCTGGGGACATGGTCTAAAATTAAAAGCAATTTTACTGTCACGCCAGTAAAATGTAGATAATGGAACGTGACGCTAGTTATCAGTAACCCATTCATGGCGGCTCTTTTTCAACAAAGCAATTGTGTAGTCAAGCTGCCAAGGTCAGCGAACTCTGAGATGCATTGTATTCTAGCATAGAACTTTACGGCCTTGTTGTCTTAAGCAGGCTAGTACGAGCCACAGCATTGGCCAATATTTTCAAAGCACTATTCATGGCTAAGAGTTTGCGCATGCAACGCTGAGCTGTCTTGTAGTACAGCCTTTGCTACTGGCTATGCCAGCAGACATGCGTCTAGCTATAAAAGCCTAGAACAACTGTTCAGAGTTCACTTGGGTTCCAGTGTTCAGCAAGGTTTAAGGGCTCAGTATACGATTCTTGTAAAATTTTTCCCTCCCTCCCTCCCTTTGGAGACGAGGTTTGGGCTTTGTTTTGTGCTATACCTTCAAATAAACTAGGGACACTCCTCGCAGTGCGGTTAAGTCTGCGCAGCGACTTCCCCCAAGCTTGTTGGTTCGCATTGCCGTTTAATATCGCCTGCAAGCTAGCCTGCGAAGCGCAGACGCATTTCCGGTCGTCGCTTCTCTCCCTCCGAAAAATAGCGTCTGCGAACCCGAGCGACAAAACGATTTCCGTGACGTAAAACCTTTTGTTTTGATGTAGGCCAATCAGATCAAAGGATAGAATACAGCTCGAGTGACTCCTCGCGACCTCGCGCGCTGAAGTGTCTTGGATTTTGGAGAGAATTACCAAATACGCTTTGGAACGGGAATTTCACGACCATAACAAGGTTTCCTGCGACGTTGAATGCTGACTTCTTTATGAAGCAACTGCTTCTTAAGCTATGTATGTGATGTGGGCCTTTGGTTTCGCTTTATAAAATACGGTAGTACGTGACATAAACAAAACCTGGACAAAATAATCGCTACAGCGAAAGGAAAGCAACATAGCTTAATGACATCGCGCTCAGACTTATTTATTTCAATTTAACCAGCGCTGACAAAAGGTGGTGAATCAATTACACAGACACATCCTTGACTGATTCAGAAATCTCTAACAATCGCTCGTTAATAATTCTAGTATCGCCACAACACAATGATCTGAAATATTATAAACCTGGGCCAGACCCAGCGTGAAATAAATAGTTACAGCAGTAAATAGATCATAGTCAAAATGACATTTCAGCTACGACGCTTCTACTCATCTCACAAAAAACTATGGAAATGAGAACCTTGAAAAGAACATGTATTTAAAGAAATATACCGGAGCAAATATAAAATGCTTTCGATCTGATCAAAGTTCTATCTGAACCAAGAAGCAACCACGCATGGGAAATCAATTACCACATGTCCTACCTTTCAAAGATAAAGGATATCTACTAAAAAATATCTAAAACGGCACACGACAAACTATCGAAGAGTTCTCCAAGGCATACTTTCCTGCCAGGAACCAGAAAGGAACAGAAGCAACAAACGGCATGATGCGTCTACTGTCATTAGGACAGTTATCGTTTCGAATATGATCAAAACAACTACGTCTGATAAATCATTGACTCCGTAGGCAAATAGATGAAAAATGTCCTCTAATCTTTTCTTCGATATGAATCCTCTTGATACTTATTTCGTCAATCAGTCCCACAATCCTGGCAAATTAACTTTCGTAAACGCGTCGTTCTGAGAAAAAAGGACGGCTATACACAAGCCACGTCGTCCTTTCAATTTCGACTTGAAAACATATCCATCGCGCACGATCCTGCGAGAAGTCTCGCGAGTTAGTTCCTTGATTTTAAGAGCTAAACCGCGATTGGCTAAAAATGTTTTACGTCACGGAAATCGTTTTGTCGCTCGGGTTCGCAGACGCTATTTTTCGGAGGGAGAGAAGCGACGACCGGAAATGCGTCTGCGCTTCACAGGCTACCTGCAAGCCGATACTCTTGTCCGATCCAGCACGTGCTGTGTTGCATTCAGCTGGTAGTGCTGGGGAGATAAGTGAGGTTCTTTGCCCATGCCATCGCCGGAAGTCGCACAGGCTAACCTAGCGCAAGGCAGTGCTCCCCCAGTATCGCCAACTTGTCATTATTTGTTTTATAATTAAGTCACTTCGCGTTAGGCATGCATCATAAAGGAGCAGAGACATTAACGATTCTATGTCATCCCATATCACAACAAAAGGTCCTGTAACTTCATTTCATTGAAGTAAGCTTGCTGGCTATTTTATAGGAAGATAACACACCCAAGTATTTCCAGAAAATTTGAAGTCGATCGCTTCTTGCAGGCATTGTTGATGAAGTGTAATTGTTATGAAGACTGAGAAAGTCCTTTCTAATTTAATTTTTTTGGGAACCTTGTTGTTGATCCTGACCTTACAATAAATTCAGCAGCACGTGATAATAATATGATAGTAATCAATGGCAAGCACACCTTATCAGTTCATGGAGATTTAGGGGTGGTCCGAGGGGACCACGGCCGCCCCATTTTCTGTAAAACTGTGTGTAACTGTCAAGGATTTCGATAGAATAATATGTAGAAAATCATGGAAGAGCAAACGGATACTTACGGTAAGGCGATGAAGAAGTAAACAAAAGAATAAAAGAAAAAATATATATTTAAAGAAAATATATATTTTTTATTTTATTTTTTTTTGTTTTATTCTTTGGTTTACTTCTTCATCGCCTTGCCGAAAGGATCAGTTTGCAGTTTCATATTTTTCTACAAGTTTAATTGTACTGATCCAGGTCTATAAGTGGGGAAATTCGGCACTTCTCATTGGTTTGTCGCTTTGGACTTGTTAATATATAATATTTTTTGGGATAATATGTAGTATCTGAACAGCTGACAAGTGTCCCGATCCCCATTTTCCAAGTTTTCTGGATCCCTTTCTGTAGACTCCCTATCCTTTCGCCTCATGTAAGGGAATCTAAGACAGTTTTAGATTCAGGATTCTACACCGTAGATTCCGGATTCCAGGTACTGGATTCTGGAGTTTTTGTCAGTGTAACTTGAATTCTGGATTCCAGTCTTTAGTAGGACTCAGGATTCCTTGAGCTGTATTCCGGATTCCAAAAGCCATGATTCTGGACTACACAAGAAAAATTTATCGGATTCTGGATTCCACAGGAAAAAATTTCCCGGATTCTTGATACCCTTTTATGGGGTTAGACCTTACTTAAACGCATGTCCGCCATTTACTGCCACAATTGGTAAGACAATTGACACAACTGAGTAGCTTGTAACGCTTCAAACACACGAAGGGCCTGTTTACATGGAGGTGGAGGACCCCAGGTAGGTGAGGTAACCCGCTTATGAGGGGTAACCCGCCTGTCCATATAATCTCTCATTTCAGTTTGACCACGTTTACATAATAGGTGGGATGACGGGCGGACGTTGCCTCACGTACCTGTCTGGGGTTCCCCCACCTCCATGTAAACAGGCTCTAAATTGGTAGTTTCTTGGTGTTGCCGACGGCTGCAATCACCAAATGACGTAATACAAGAGAGAAAGACTGAGAAAGTCCTTTCTAATTTAATTTTTTTGGGAACCTTGTTGTTGATCCTGACCTTACAATAAATTCAGCAGCACGTGACCATGTCGGACCAACCAATAAAAAAGGTTTCCAGTCACGGTGTGTGAATGAAAGATAAAAATTGTGCACGGTCAGAGAGTTCCCAACATAAGCTGCAGACCGTTGTTTTGGCCCTTCCAAGGCCGGCTTTCACAACCAGCCTCCTATACTAACAATGCTTCAGGTAATAATATCTTTGAACTAGGAGGAAGGGAATGATACAATACAAAAAGCAGGACATTCTGTTCATACCTTTGGGTAAAAAAAACACGTAAGGTCAGGCGCAATAGCAGTTTTGTGGGAGACCGCAAAGCGAACAAGTACAGCTGTCCAATTTCCGTGCGTATCTGAAAGAAACAATTTCAAAAAATGTTAAATTCAGTACATTATTGCGGATTGTTATTGCTCGGTGGATACTCACTATTGTAAAACTCGGTATCTTTCATGCAACGTTAACTTTCACAAGTCCGCGAGATTCATATGTTAGAGTTACTCGTCCGTGTGAGAGCTAAAAACGGCTTCTGGAAGGAGGGTGAAAGCAGAGAACGAAACAGGAAAGGGTATGTCATGCTCGCGTACCATTCGCACTCTGAAAAACTGATTTGGCTTTTCTTTGAGTGAAAGGGTATTTTATAGTCTTTTATAGGACTTACTTGCAGCACTTTTGCTTATACTGTTTCTGCCTATAAGGTGATCACATGAAGGTCCAAGCACCCAAACTTTATTTTCAAAGCGGTATTGGTGTCAAAAACCTTGTAGGTTCAACTTAAATATATGGTGTTTTGTCGTCATTTCTGACTGGTTTATTTTAATTTGTACCTTTGAGGACCGGAAAAGTAGATGCTTGTTGTGTGTCTTCATAATCAAAGTATGCATCCTGGCCTAATCGTTCAAATCGTACCGAAATTGCAGTCAGTTTTTTTGAAATAATGCCAAAAATGCACATTTCTTGCATCCGATATCTCTAAACTTTTGCCTTTTGAAGGAAAAGAAGAGGAAAATAGAGATCAAGAAGTAAAGGAGGGTAAGGGAAAAAGAAGTTGTTGTACAGTTATTATTATTATTATTATTATCATTATTATTATTATTATTATTATTATTATTATTATTATTATTATTATTATTATTATCTCTTTTATCACAGTCTTTGCTGGTGTTCTTTTTGTGCATCAGCCGGGCGCGAACCATGCACCTAGAGCGTCAGTCAGCTCAAGTCAATCATTCTGTTCATACACTGAGCACCTTTCTGAGGATTCGTGCAGATCCCAGCATGCAGATCTTTTGAATCTCTGTCATAGTAGCTCTCTCTGATACTTTCTTGATGTTTTCTACCATACCGTTCTTCACTGTACCAAGCGCACCAACAACCACAGGGATCACTACGGTTTTCATATGCCACATTCTCTGTATTTCTAGTTCTAGGTCTTTGTATACTTGCTTTTTTTTTTCAGTTTCCTTCAGTGCGATGTTTCTATCTGATGGAACATCATCATTATTATTATTATTATTATTATTATTTTATTTTATTTTTTTATTTTTATTTTTGTTTTTTTTAACTTGGCTACGTTAAGAAACTCGCGTTTTTTAAATTAAACAGGCCATCTTTGGTCCCTGTCAAATTGGCTGGATAATCTAAACGATTCATTTATTAACACTGAGAATGTTACCGTTCATCAGGGTCCATGATAAATTTGAAAACCACTGGTTGGTGTTTTCATATTTTCCGAAGCTCACATTAACTTCTGATGGGTACCAGTTCACATTTTGTGAAGGAGACGATGTAGGGCACTCTAGAATAAAAGACATCAACAAATACGACCAAAGTTAGTAAGAAAACGCACACTACCAAGTCCGCGGTATGATCAATACCTTACGCATGCGCACAGCCATGGGTGCCGGAAACTTATTAGCGCACCTCAATTTTTTCATTCTCAATTCAAAATTGTAATTGTTTGCTGGTACCTATTAAGACTGTTAAAAACCTGAAGCTTTGTAATGTTTACCTTGTTTGTAATGGTAACAGGACTGAGTGGAGTCCAATTCGGTTTGTAATCATACGAGTGATTAACAAAATCGGACGACCACGTAGCGGGAGCCCGATTTGTTTAATCACGAGTATGATTATAGACCGAATTGGACGACACAAAGTTCTGTTACCAATTAATCATAACTTTCACAAAATTTGTGATATATTGGGCTCTTTTTTTAATCAAAACACAAGAAATTCCGAGAATTTTTTGCTAGCAGTGAAAAAAAAGCCATTTAAGCGCGCGTGTGATGGCGCATACTGTCCGATTACTTAGACATGACGCGTACTGTCCTTTTAACTGTCCTATTAAGGCTGAAATCAGGGCAGTTGATAGCCAATCAGATTTAAGAATTTTTTTATAGTTATGATTATGTTTGTAATTTTCTTTATTAATTGGAAGATAGATAGTTTATTAAAAATCGCTTCTCATCACAAAGGCTGAATTATGCAATTTTTTACAACACTATTACAAATATCTCGAAAAAAAACTACATCAAAAATATAATATAAATAGTGAAATCTAATGTATAATTAAAATGTAACAGAATTTAAAAATTATAAATCAAAAATTAAATATCAAAATATTTACGATGTGTTCAAAAAACGGTCTAGATTCTTAATTAAAAGGTGGCATCTGTCTTGCCACTGCAAGCATAAAAACGTTTTCGCCCTATTAGTACAAACGCGTGGAATGTTATCGGCGTGATTATTTCTCAGACTATACCTAGCATTTTTGCGAGGCGGCAAAAAGTTGAAGACTGATTATGATTTTGTCGGAAGTTATAGTGTTGAAAAAAGTGCTGAACACTTAGCGAGTCTGGTCTACTACAGGTGTTATGTCCAAAAATTAGCAAGTATCGCCGTAGCTCAAGCCGGGCACAATTATCGATAGCGCCCCTCTTTTCGATATGCACGAGTTCATTAATAAGATACTGCGGCAGGGTATTACAGAAAACTGGTACTGCACTAGTCAATTGCATATCGTACACACGTTGTATAAAAATAGAGCTAAATCCACTGGCGGCAATCGTGCCCGTTTTAGTTGTAGTAAAAAGTGTAACGTCTTACTAGCTTTCTTAATAAGATCATCCACGTTCCATTTTAAGTTGTCACTTATAGTGAGCCCAAGTAGCTTCGTACTACTGACAACTTCTGGCTCTTTTCCCTGAACGAAACCTACATGAAACTCTTCGAGGTTACGTGCAAACGAAATCCTGAGCTCTTTACATTTGTCCGGCCGGATTAAAGTGCCTTCTATTTTCCGGCGACCAAAGTATAACTTGATCTGTGATACGCTGAGCATTACAAACATCTCCCTTATGAACGATCTCTGAGGCCGTGTATCATCAACAAATGTCCATAACAATGGCGAATGAAAAGTAAGATCATTTATCATTAGGATAAATAACCACGGCCCCGATTTGGTACCCTGTGGTACCCCGGACGGTACTGGGCCCCACTTAGAGAAGCAACCTCCAGCTAATTTTATTCGTTGCGAACGATCTGACAAGAGGTCAAATTCTTTTGTTTAATGACACTGTTCGGAGATAATAAAAAAATCGCGAAATTTAATGCACTCCAATTCTTCCTTTCCCGAAAAATCGCGAAATATGGCTCATGATTTTTCGCGAAATTAATTTGAAAAATGCTTGCGAAATTAAATGAGAATAAGATAGTAGTAGAAGGGACTAAAACTGGTAGGACTTACGCGTGGCTGGAGAACGTTCTTTACGGATGCGTTTTTTACGTGAGTGTGCAAATGGAAGAAACTGTTGTCTTCTTGTAGCTGCCGAAAAAGGAAAAATAAAAACAGCAAATATTATTAAATAAAACAAGTTGTTTAAGTAATCAATGGCAAGCACACCTTATCAGTTCATGGAGATTTAGGGGTGGTCCGAGGGGACCACGGCCGCCCCATTTTCTGTAAAACTGTGTGTAACTGTCAAGGATTTCGATAGAATAATATGTAGAAAATCATGGAAGAGCAAACGGATACTTACGGTAAGGCGATGAAGAAGTAAACAAAAGAATAAAAGAAAAAATATATATTTAAAGAAAATATATATTTTTTATTTTATTTTTTTTTGTTTTATTCTTTGGTTTACTTCTTCATCGCCTTGCCGAAAGGATCAGTTTGCAGTTTCATATTTTTCTACAAGTTTAATTGTACTGATCCAGGTCTATAAGTGGGGAAATTCGGCACTTCTCATTGGTTTGTCGCTTTGGACTTGTTAATATATAATATTTTTTGGGATAATATGTAGTATCTGAACAGCTGACAAGTGTCCCGATCCCCATTTTCCAAGTTTTCTGGATCCCTTTCTGTAGACTCCCTATCCTTTCGCCTCATGTAAGGGAATCTAAGACAGTTTTAGATTCAGGATTCTACACCGTAGATTCCGGATTCCAGGTACTGGATTCTGGAGTTTTTGTCAGTGTAACTTGAATTCTGGATTCCAGTCTTTAGTAGGACTCAGGATTCCTTGAGCTGTATTCCGGATTCCAAAAGCCATGATTCTGGACTACACAAGAAAAATTTATCGGATTCTGGATTCCACAGGAAAAAATTTCCCGGATTCTTGATACCCTTTTATGGGGTTAGACCTTACTTAAACGCATGTCCGCCATTTACTGCCACAATTGGTAAGACAATTGACACAACTGAGTAGCTTGTAACGCTTCAAACACACGAAGGGCCTGTTTACATGGAGGTGGAGGACCCCAGGTAGGTGAGGTAACCCGCTTATGAGGGGTAACCCGCCTGTCCATATAATCTCTCATTTCAGTTTGACCACGTTTACATAATAGGTGGGATGACGGGCGGACGTTGCCTCACGTACCTGTCTGGGGTTCCCCCACCTCCATGTAAACAGGCTCTAAATTGGTAGTTTCTTGGTGTTGCCGACGGCTGCAATCACCAAATGACGTAATACAAGAGAGAAAGACTGAGAAAGTCCTTTCTAATTTAATTTTTTTGGGAACCTTGTTGTTGATCCTGACCTTACAATAAATTCAGCAGCACGTGACCATGTCGGACCAACCAATAAAAAAGGTTTCCAGTCACGGTGTGTGAATGAAAGATAAAAATTGTGCACGGTCAGAGAGTTCCCAACATAAGCTGCAGACCGTTGTTTTGGCCCTTCCAAGGCCGGCTTTCACAACCAGCCTCCTATACTAACAATGCTTCAGGTAATAATATCTTTGAACTAGGAGGAAGGGAATGATACAATACAAAAAGCAGGACATTCTGTTCATACCTTTGGGTAAAAAAAACACGTAAGGTCAGGCGCAATAGCAGTTTTGTGGGAGACCGCAAAG